GAGGGGAGGGGGGTTTGGGGCGGCCCAGGAAGCCAGGCTCTGTCTCACTGGTTGTTTGGGAAGACAAACGCCATCACTGCAGATGTCCTCCCCTCTTATTTCCCTCAGCTCTCTATGCTGAGCATGACATCATAGGGTCTGGAATATCCCTTTGGTCAGTGGGGATCAGCTGTCCCAGCTGTGTCCTCTCCCAACTACATGTGCAACCCCCGCCTGCTCACTGGTGGGGTGGGCTGAGGCGCAGAAAAGGCCTCGACTCTGTGTAAGCACTGCTCAGCCATAATGGAAACATCCCTGAATAACCATCCCTGTCTCCAGCACAGATCCAAAGCACAGCCCTGGAGCAGCTGCTGTGAAGAGAACTAACTCTACCCCAGCCAAAACCAACACAGTGAGGGCCCCTTGTCCTCCATCCCCAAACAAGCTGGGCACATATGTTCTCAGCCACTTCACATCTCCTGAAATGCAGCAGCTTCTTATGTGCTCAGTCCTCTGTCAGAGCACTCCTGCACCCTGGGGGTGTGCACAGGCTTGGCTGGGGCCTCTGACAGCCACAGAAGCAATAGTGGAAGGAGTGATACATCCTGGGTGGTGTGGCTTGAGGAGGCTTAGTCAGCAGCCCCTGGATTTCTGGCTTGCTGTTAGCTTGTCTTCTATGGCTTCTAGCTCTCCAGCTTCATTAGGAACTTCCAGCTCCTGTTGCAAAGATAGTCTTAAAGATATGAATCACTGGGATTGAATATTTCATATTCAAAATACTGGGTGTTGGGAGGGTTTGTTCTGCAGGCAAACTAAGCCTGGCTTCTACCCACAGATTTCTAATGTCACAGTGAAGTGAAACGAGATGCTGATGGATTTCACCATTACCTTTCACAAATCACTACTAATGTGTTAATTTAACAATCTGCTGTTTGCTGGGGGAAAGATCACATATATTAGAGTTACTGAAAAAGCAAAAGGGGAGATTGCAGACACTGAAGGTGAAGGCTTCAAAGAGCTGCAGTGTCACAGGTACTCCCTGCTGAGAAGGAACTTACTCCAGAGACCTTCCCCCAGAGCCCTGGGGTTTGGGCACTGCTGCTCCCTGGTGGGATAAAGCAGCTGCTGA